CAGAAAGAGAGAGAGAGAGAGTTCGTGTAACCTTCAGATATGATAAGGAGCCATGTTTGTAATGTCTACAATGACCCCCTTGGGGGTAGACATGACGTTTTGCCGATAAATGGTCACTGTGGCTTGCCTTTCCCACATGTAAGGCCATTCCAGGTTGTTGTAATTTAGTTGAAAAGCTCAAATCAGGCAACAAATGAAGCCCGGTCGGTACTTTGGATCCCGCTGGCATGGAAGCATGCGAAACACAACACATTAACACCGAAAGGTACACAAAATAATCTTTCAGTTAACCCCACCCCCTTTTGAATCTTCTGCCGCTGTGGTAGCGAGGACAGGCTCAGCTGTCAATCATCAGGGAGAGAAAAGGGGGGGGGGGTTACATTCCCGCTCTGCAGCTGAGCCGCCGCCACTACCACCGCCGCATCATCCCACCTGTCAATCATACCGTGAACCTTCAGTCCACCCCGCACCACCGCTGCTACCTCCTCCTTCAAAAACACCCTCCACCCTTTTTCCACTTCTTCAGCACACACACACACACACACACACACACACACACACACACACACACACACACACACACACACACACACACACACACACACACGCACACACACACACACACGCACACTCCACCAGCCAATTCAATAAAAACAGCTTCCCATTCCGGCACGCTCGCCGCTGTCAGTCCTTTGATTCGCCAGAAAGCGAGTCGGAGGGCGGCCTTCACCCTCGAGCCCCAACACCACCTGCCCCGGCACCCCTTCCTTTCTTTCATACACACGATTCTACAAAACATCCTGTTTGATATTTTGTATGCTGCTGCTTAACAACACACGTGCCTTGGGTAAAATATGTCAAACATTACAACAATAAATATATAAATTCCTGTCAGAACATTTCACTGTTTCACAATAGGTTCTCTTGTATTTGTTTAACTTTATAACATAGAGCTCAATGGGATTTTGATCGGCTAATGGAGGGGTGTCAAACTAATTCTTGTCGCGGGCTACATTGTAGTGACTGTTTCCCGACGAGGGCTGTTATGACTGTGAAATCATATAATGAAGTCAAGAATAATGGTTCATTCAACGATTGTTTGAGTTAGTGGAATGAAAGAAAATGCTGACAATATCTCGCTTATTTATTACATATGAGAAGTGGAAATTATGGTACAGATTTTAGTAATCATCGTAAACGTTGACGTTTGATTTACTTTTGCGGGCCACATAAAATGATGTGGCGTGCCAGATCCGGCCCCCGGGGCTTGAGTTTGACACCTGTGGGCTAATGTTTTAGCATGGGGGAATATTTGAATGCCATTTTTTTTGTCTTGTGTTGTAATGCATGGATACGTAAATAATACAAATAATAAAAGACTGAGACAGAGTTTTGCTGATTATATAAACTAATATCGACCGATTAATCTCACCTGCCCTCGTAAAAACATACTTCAATCGAATGTAAAATTTGCGAAACATGATTGGGTGTTAGGGTGCCCATTCTCTCCACCAAAGAGGGTAGTATAATACATAAGAAACAAAAAGGTCTGTCTGTCTGTTGTGAGCTCAGTAAGCTGCTTCAATAGTCATTCTTTGCAGCGGAGTGAGTACTGTACTGCTATATTATCTGTCTACATGTGTTGCTGTACGGTTTGTGTTCAAATATGCATTGCTTGTTTGAAGTACCGAAAGAGCAACATTTATTTTGTAACCAGAATTTAATTTTTTAAACTGGAATTATTTTATCATTGTTATTTAGATGTTTGTTAAATAGAAAAATAAAACTAGTTTTATCACCACTCTATTTTTAAAAATTATTTATCTATTAAGACTTTAACTCCAGTGTTTAAAAAAAATATCGCAGTAAGCATTTTTAACAAAATTTTGATTTAAATGTAATTTTAAATAACAATAAAAATAAATAATTATTTTTTGTAGTGATACAGATTATTGACAAATCGAAAAAGACATACAATAGATTGATTTGATTTAATTATTTTAGGTTATTTCTTTTTTTTTTCTGGCTAAGATAAATTTATAAGTAATCGCCAAACATTTTGTCCATAGGGTAAATAAAAGGTAATAAAAAGACGACTCGGAAAGTAGTACTTTTAGTTTTTATTTACCTCTCATGGATATTTTTCCAAATCATATCATCTATGAGACAGTTACTTTTAAGGGCTATGTAGTTAAATGAGTTGGAAATTATATTTAAATTCTATCAGAATACAGTTAGGGTGTAATTACAGTTTAAACAATATTTGGGGTGGGTTTCCTTATTGGAATTTTTTTGCCATAGCAAGGGTTGACTGAATTACTCATAACAGTGAAGTTTCATTGACTCTTTAAGAAGTGGTCATCTTCCTGTTGCAACAATTGCATCAAACACTTTCGTGCCGTTGTTGTCGTTTGGGGGGAAACGAGCCTTGCTCTTTGGTTGCATCACGACGCTTTCATCAGATGCCTCCAGCCAGACAAGGGCCGCGGTGGCAACTGGAGCGCTGGTATGTAATTGTGTGTGTGTGTGTGTGTGTGTGTGTGTGTGTGTGTGTGTGTGTGTCTGTGTGTGTGTGTGTGTGTGTGTGTGTGTGTGTGTGTATTGAATATTCGGCGCGGTGCACAATAATTGTCTGATGGAGTGTTGTTTGGCGTAAACAACACACTCCTCTCACACTCCCACCAGGCCATTTTTGACACTCAGGCAAGCATTAAAAATATTAGCGGGAACAAAGCAATATAGCATCATGGTTGTAAAAAGACTTTAATGTGTTCTCTTACGACGTGAGGGAGACTCTACGCGCACCCCCGAATTGTCTTTTAAAATCATGACGAGGTGGGCTACAATATGATTGGTTGAGCTGTTGATGTTGTTACTATCCATTCAATATCCGATCCGCTTATCCTCACAAGGGTCACGGGGTGTGCTGGAGCCTATCCCAGCTGTCTTGGGGCAGTAGCCGGGGTGCACCCTGAACTGGTTGCCAGCCAGTCGCAGGGCACACATAGACGAACAACCATCCGTGCTCAGACTCACACCCAGGGACAATTTAGAGAGTTCCTTTAACCTGCCATGCATGTTTCTGGAATGTGGGAGGAAACTGAAGTACCCGGAGAGGTTTCCTCCCACGTTGTAAAAACATGCATCGCAGGTCAATGAAACACTCAAAATTGTCCCTCGGTATGAGGGTGAGTGCACATAGTTGTTTGTCTATGTATGCCCTGCGATTGGCTGGCAACCGGTTCAGGGTGTCCCCCGCCTGCTGCCTGAAGACAGCACCAGCATGCCCGCGACACTTGTGAGGATAAGCAGAATAGAAAATGGATGGAAAGATGGATGGATGGAATCTGAGAGAAGCCAGCAGATGTCAACTAGCTTGTAGTATGTCTTCCTATTTGTTCAAGTCAAGTCAAATGTATTTTTATAGCCTTTAATCACACAAGAAGCTAAAAAAAAATTGAGAAACAAAAAGCTCTCTTTTCTTTTGTTTAGTAAAATCCTGCTGCCGCTGCGGATCACGCTGGTTTCTCCACAGGTGGATGCGTAATCGGAAGCTGGTGAGTGACAGTGAGTCATCTCCGCTTTGGCTGCCGCTAAGCCTCGTGCTTCTCGGGGGGAGGGGGTGGGGTAGGTTTCCGCCTCGACGCCATTGGAGCATGTGTCTTTTAATTTATTTTTTGTTTTATTTTTACATCTGAAAAGCAAAAACCGGAGCAGAATCACGCACGCACCGTGTCCTTATCTGCGTCAATATGTCTGCAGCATGCAGATGAGACCAAGGGGGACACGATATTGAATAATAATGGCAATAACACACTACACTAACATGTAGCGGCATCTTTTAATAAATGATAAACTAGTATTACTCCACATTGTGGGGGACCCGGTAGATCGAGTTGACTGCGAGAATGGAGTTTAAAACAAAATAAAAACAAGCGTAATGGAGAAACAAAGAGAAGTGAGACGGACTGGATGGGACAAATAGTTTTGTATGTCCCAGCAACATGAACATGGGCACACACAACCACCTCTCAGAGTTTAGTGTGAAAGTGGGGTCAGTGCTGCTGTTTTGCTTGGCAACTGAGAATTCCAAACATCGCCCTTACTGTATCTCTTTGGTCCGTCCTCCAGGCAGAAGGACAGCGTGAGCGTGGCGTCCTCCTCAAAGAACTCTGTGGCGAAGGCATCCCACCACAAACTGTCGCTTTCCTGTCCAAAAGACAAATCAGAAAACGCATTAAGAATCTATACATCGTGTGGAAATGACGTTCGTGAGCAATCGGCAAAATGGATACACACACATCTGGGTCACTGTCATTGATTTTGACGCAAAGATGTTCGTTAGATTAATTGGAAGACTTCCAAGATGCCTTTGATGTTGACAAAACCCTGGAGGTGGGGCTCATTGAGGAATCTAAACTCTCTTTGCTCTGTACAAAATCTTGCAAGGTTCAGCGAACACTAAAGTGGCTTTGAAGTTAACACAAAAGTACAGTACGGAAGGATCTAATTTGTCTAGCTTGTTTACGAAAAAAATAGATGCACGGTTAACCAAATTCTATTTCTTATTTCACAAAAAAGACTGGAATGCCTTTTCAGAGCTTGTCTCATGCTAAACTCCACAATTATCGATTTTTACAAAAACAGGCCTGTTAGTTAAGTTTGGGGAAGAGTTAAATTGTCTTTGAAGTTGAACAAAATGTACTGCATGCTTGATTAATTGAAAACGCAAAATCGCCTTATGTTTACGAAACATGCGCATGGGGCTGCAATTAACGATTATTTTAAGAATTAATTAATTTGTTGATTACTTTGTCGATTATTAAATTAATCTGATAAAAAATGTAGTGCTTTAATTTCCAACCCTTTATTCAAAAACAGGACATTATTTCAAATCGATGGTGTAGAAATTGGAAAAAAAAATGATTAGGATTCAGGAAGTGGTCCATATCATTTCAGGCAAAACTACTGATCATTATTTTCCAAAGTAAAATCAAATGTTTTAGTTTAATGCAAGAGCACAAAAATCATCAGTTTGCATTCATTCATGTACTCGAGAAACCTTCCGAATATTTACTGTGAAGAACGTAAAATTCTGAGAATTTGAACAATTTGAAATTTTAAAAAAAGGGTATCTCAATGATTAATCGATGATGAAAAGGAATGACCGATTCATTTGATAATCGATTGTCACTTAATCGTTGCACTTCGACATATGCATTTGCTTCATTGCACACAAAATTGTATTTGTTTTTCCAAAAGCGTATACGTTGGGCTTACAGGAGACTTTGCTGTTCACAAAACTAATCGATGAAGTTCATGGAGGACTGAATTGTTTTTGATGTATACAACAACATGTATATTAGGTTCATTGCCTTCGTTTTATGGAAGACACTACATTGTTTTTTATGTTTATAAGATCATCGACGTGAGGTGAACAAAAACCTGAATTGCATTTTGGGTGTTGACAAACATGCACGTACTGTATGTGAGGATCGTGGAGCTCATGGAAGACTGAAGCATCTTTGAAGTTTACAAACTCACGCTCGCCTGGTTCATTGGAGATGAAATTGTCTTTGATGTCTTCATCACCTATGTAAGGTTCTTGAAAGGCTCCCAATGTCCTTTGAAGTTTCGATAGGCTCATAAAGACTTCAAATCTCTTTTGAAGTTTACAAAAACTTGTACGTAAAGTTCACTGGAGGTTAAACTGGTTTGGATGTTTACAGACGCGCATTAGCTTCATTCGGAGAACGAAATCATCCAGCATTTTAAGTTTGTTATTGAATATTGAAGACGAAATTGTCTTGGTGTCTCACGTGCTGATATAAAGAAGCCACAGTTCGGTTCAGGCCTTTGACTTTTCTTCATCGCGGACTTGGCCTGAGGCGCTAACAATTGGTAGTGAAGTCCCGCCGCTTTGAATGCTACAAGCTTCACACCATGGTAGGATGCTCGGTGCTGTCTTAAAAAAAATTAAATAAAAAAACACGCTTCTCTACTGGCTCTCCATCCTCCATACTTGTCATAAATAACACTCCACGTGCTAACGTGAGCTTTAATGATAATGGGATTACGTCGGAGACTGGCAGTTCTTCAGCGTTGTTACATTCATTCCCAGCAAGTCCAGATGGGATTTACCGACTCTCCCCCCCTCCACCCCTCGTTTAGGACTTAGCGTTGATGCTAATGTGCTCTGACAAGTTATGACACCTTTCTTTAAGCGCGCTGAGCACTTTCCACATGCTGACAATTAGCCACACCGCCATCCAGATGTGTGCGACAAGCTCGCCCCATCGTGAAAAAAAGAATGTTAACGTTCACATATTGAATCAGAGTCGGGCATCCTACTGCCCATGGCCCACAAAATCAATGGAATGGCCCACCATGAAATTCTAAAACCAAACATTTGGTCTAGCTTTGACCATGTGAGTTTCCTGTATTCCTGCTGGTCGATAACTTCATCCACATGCTCCGCCCACACACAAAGATGAAAATGAAAACCTTTCGCAATTTAGCGTGCATGTCTGTCAGTTATACATGGTTCAAATTTGCCAGCAATCTGACAAACCAGCTAGAGGGACCTCCCAAAATGGACAAATTGAACCGAAACTGAAAGCTTCGAAGCAAAATGACAGACTCCCCACGTGTCTTTTTTAGGAATGGCCTCTTGAGCTTTTTATTTATTTATTTATTTGTTTATTTATTTATTTATTTTTGTGGTGTTGCCAAATGAAGCTGCCGTCAGGCAAGGTTAAAGTTTTGTGCTTTATGGTGAGCGAAAAATGTCACCACATTGCTATTGCCATTTCAAAAGACTCTTTAAAACATTTAACATTCCAACATTCTTCAAAACCGCCAAAAGGAGCCAAAAATGTACATGTCAAAATAAAATGGCAGACCTCCTGTGAGTTTTACGGCTGAGATTCTTGACTTTTTGTGTGGGGGGTCTCCTCATCATAGATGTGCCTGCTAAATTTCACGTAGCTAAGTGAATCTCACAACCTGTGCAATGAGCCAAATGCTACTTCGCCATATGTCAGGATATATCAGTGGTTCCCAACCATCGGTCTGAAAAAATGCATTTACTGCAAACAACAAATACAAATCTCCGCTTCAATATCTATGTCAGTTATGTATTGTGGCAGGACGCACAATGAAATGCTCTTCGGAGGTCCCGATATATATGTAGAAAAAAATAATACGCACTTTTGTTATTGTTTCCATTTTTTTTCATGAGCTAAACTTTTTCCCTGTGCACAAAATGCCCACTTTTCTCAATTGTTGTTCATAATTCTGTCGACATCTGTCTTTTTGAGCACTTCTCCTTTGGCGAAATCATCCATCGACCTCACAGGAGTGGCACATCATGACGCTAATTAAACAGCACGATTACTGCACAGGTTCTTTGAGGATTTCTAACTTGAATACATATCATGTATGAATTATCATAAAAATGATAGAAACTGGTACTTTTTATAACATTTTGGGGGCATATAAATCCTGATCTCCAACTAGAGCACCCCTCTAAGGCCAGCCGCCGGCACCAAACCAACACGGCCACTTGCAAATGACATATTTAGCGTAGTCCAAGCTCCCCTCGGCCTTCCTGTGTTGAGGTGCACCGCACCGCTCGCCTCCCTGCAACCGGCTGACAGACAACATCATCCCTTCATTCATGCCTTCAGCCTCTCTGACGAGCCGCTTGCCGTGACCATGTTTGTTGTCATATACGACAAATCGGGCCCCCGCCCCTCCGCCAACGGCTGATGGTGAACCCCTCTCGGTCGCAGGCGGACACGCCATCAAATTACAAACAGAATGCACCCCGACACAACACGTCATCCACTCGTTTTTCATCCATCTGGAAAGAGCGATACCAAACTCATCTACCTGCCCGTGTGACTTCCCCACCTCATTTCCTGGAATATAGCCACACTCAAAGGATTGCATGCACAACTTTATTGAGTGCTTTCTTGAGTCAGCGTCAGCCTGCACATCAGGGATGTAACCAGAAGTTTTTTTTTTTTCCACAGGGTGACCAGAGTAATAAAATAGTTCATTGAGAGGTGGCTATACCGTAAATGCGCATACATGCATTCGCAAGCTTGTAATCTCCTCTGTCACTGAGAAGTCATTGTTTTTCATACCATCTGCAGTCAGGGTTTCATGACAGAAATACAATACAAGCAAGATTAAGTCTCAGTAAAAAGCAACTTTTTGCTGATCTTAATTTAGTAATGCCATTTCATCCATTGCTTTGCTATGGTGTACCATCTCATAGTTTACTTCTATATTACGCACTGATTTGTTGGCTAACAGAATCATCAATTGTCACTGACAGCCGATGCCATTTTATAAACAATTTCAAATTTTACTTTTTACTTTGGTTTGTTCAAACTTGTGTGATGAATGTGTTGGGAAAATGGGTGTATGTGTGCATTTGATTTCATGAAATGATGACTGCGGCCTGGTAAGATAAAACTTTACTTCTCAGCCATGTTTGCTTGCTATGGTGTAAAAGTCATGATTTTGATTGGCGGTGACTGTAAAAATCAAATGTTCTTTACTACAGACACTTTAAGAAACTGCATTCAGGTTAATTGTACGTTAGCTCTTTAAATATGCCATTAATATGAATGCATTTTGGCAGAGTGTCACGTGATCTAAGAGTCCTTCTTCCATGTGAAAATGGCAGGAAATTGACAACCATCAAAATTTTACCCTCAATGTGGGGCTGTCAGGAGGTTGTCCAGAGAGTGACCAGGGCCACCCCTGGCCACCAAGTACTTACACCACTGTCTCACACACACACACACACACACACACATACACACACACACACACACATTATGCCAATTAGCTTTCACTCGTCTGCGTGAATATTTTTTTCCCCCTGCTATTGCTTCCAGCCTCTTCCAAGAGTGTAGTGTGGGCGTATTAAGGAGCCTGATCTCTGAGAAACAACATTTTCTGAAAGCCTGTTCAGCTCCCGAATAGAAACCAGCCCCAGCGAAGCAACAGACGAGAATCAAGTTTGACCGAGACGCAGGAGAGCCTCCGGTTATACTGTACATGTGGGAGCATAGAACGACTGAGCGGCAGACATGTAAAAAGCGTGTTTAGCATGGGAGCCTTTCTTTGGTGGTCTTCAAGATAGCCAAACCATACACTGATAACCCATTAAAATCTACTCTCTGCTTGGGCTT